AGGCTCTGTATGTAATGAGGTGGCTTTGCCTTTAAGGGATGGGTTGAAGAGATAATTTTCCAAGTGTGACTTCTTCTGCCTTATGTGACAGTGAAGAGCTAAGCTTTTTCCTGCAGCATAATAGTTTTGGTGGGAGACTCACAGGGCTGTTTTAGGGGAAAGCTTGTTTGAGATGGTATCCAACTGTCCTTGAAATCTCAAGATCATAGAGCCTGGGGTTGCTTCTGGGCCCCATTTTGGTCTTGGATTTCCATCAGCCAGTAGTGGCCTGGAATGCTCCAACAGAATTGTCAGTTGGGGTTTCTATTGGCTGGGATTTGCCACTGATATCCATACCCTAGTGTGCGGTCAGACGTGCATTTTAATCCACTGTTTCCCTGCCTCTAATTGATCCAGAGTATAGCAATCAGACGCTTATCAAACCTGGCAGCCAAGGAGTGTTAATGTCGGCCATTTTAAAAAATAGTTTCTCCCTTGAGTGTGCACACAAGCGCTGCTATGCCTCCTGGGATATGTAGATCATGGGGCTGACAGCCATTTTTTAGAAAAGTTTGTCCTGTGGGTATGTGCACAAGCGCTGATCAGCCTGCTGGGACATGTAGTCTCCCTCTCTAAACTTTTCAATTTACCCTACTCCAAAGCCTAGGAAAAAGCTGAAGTACAGGGGAGTTTTTGTTTGAAAGTTTTTATGAAGGAAACAAAATTTAGAGCAGCCCCTGGGGGAGGGGGGGGGGAGAGAGGTACGAATATGCAGTTGAGCACACTTCGCTAACTAGTAAAAAAAACCTGGCAGCAGAAAAACAAGAGACCTGTCAGACCTGACGGATGGCCTGGGGTGCACAACAGAGTGATCAGACAACAGGAAATCTGGTTTGAAACCAGCTCAGCCCAAAAGGACCAGACTTTCAAAGGTATCAAATAAACACGTAGTGAAGGGGGGGAGAGAACAGGACGACTGGGGCATGACAGACAGATGCTGCTGTCTGATTGTGTATTTTAAATCCATACGGGAACAGCAACGGCAGCAGATTAAACTGCACATCTGATCACAGCCCTAATGTCCTGTACGTTATACTACTGTAATGTACTTTACATGAGGCAATAACCAGGAACTTCAATGGCTGTGAAATACTGCAGCCAAATTTTGGCCAGGTGTTAGCCGATGAAACCGTGTTATACAGTTATTGGCTGCAATCAGGCAGACTAAATAATCCACATTCAATCCACTTTCAGTGCACTTTCCAACTGGATTTTGCCAGTTCACACAGTAAAATCCAGTTGGAAAGTGCACTGAAAGTGGATTATTTAGTGTGTGTGATCGCAGCTATCATTCATAGGCTACCTATAATTTTCCAGGCCAAGTTCAAGGTGCCAGTTTTAACCTATAAAGCCCTAACAGTGTGGGTTCTGAGTATCTCAAAGAACATCTGCTTCCATGCAAACCTCCCTTATAGTAAAGGTCAGGTAAAGAGGCCTTGTTTTAAATGTCAATGTATGGGAAGGCTATAATGGTCTCCACACATAGCAGGGCCTTTTAGTTGCGGCCCCAGAACTCTAGAAAACCTTCCTTTGAGAAATAAGTCTGGCTACAACTTTGCAGAGGTTTTTACAGAAATCTGTTTGTTTCTGTTAGCTTTTAATTGTTATGTTTCATTTCCTGGTCCATTATATTATTGCTGCTATTTGTGCTGTTGTTATTGATATAAATGCATTTTATCTTTTTACTGCTGTTTTATTGTTATTTTATTTCCTCAGCTATGTGCCATTATGGAAAACTATGAAAAGCAGCTTGAGAAGTTTGTAAAAGAAGTAAAAGTAAAGCTAGAAGCAGGGTCAGCAGGAGAGGAATGCATGTGCAGCTGGGCCTGGCTTCCCATTGTTTTTCTCTATTAGCTTCCACTGCAGAAGAGGCAAAATCCTTTGGGCAGATTAAGAAATAGCCTGAATTTTCAACAATGGGAGTTGTCAGGGGCTACTAGCTACAACAGCTAAGTAGGTTCTCCATGTATAAAGGCAATAGAATCCTAATGACCAAATATTAAAGACAAACAAGGAATTGCCATCACCGTAACATCCAGAGACATCTGCCTGTGGAATACCTTCCAGTGCTAGAGGGATCTTTGGTGTGATCCAGTTAGCAATTCATGTTTTTATGACAATAACAGCAAGTTCTAGCAGAGTACAGTGTTGTCTTTCACCAGCTTGACCCCCTTTGGATCTCTGCTTTTTTTGGTCTCTAGATCTGGATTTGACCTGTAAAGATGCTGAAACTGCATAGGGAGCAGAGGTCCATCAGTGGGGCCGGGACATTAGAAGTCCTCCCACTGTTGACCCCCCCCCCCAGCACCAAGAAGACAGAGCATCCCTTGCCCCAGACTGAGAGTTCCTAAGAACATAAGAGACGCCATTGCTGGATCAGGCCAAAGGCCCATCCAGCCCAACACTCTGTATCACACAGTGGCCAGAAATACCAGGTGCCTTCAGGAGGTCCATCAGTGGGGCCGGGACATTAGAAGTCCTCCCACTGTTGACCCCCCCCCCCAGCACCAAGAAGACAGAGCATCCCTTGCCCCAGACTGAGAGTTCCTAAGAACATAAGAGACGCCATTGCTGGATCAGGCCAAAGGCCCATCCAGCCCAACACTCTGTATCACACAGTGGCCAGAAATACCAGGTGCCTTCAGGAGGTCCATCAGTGGGGCCGGGACATTAGAAGTCCTCCCACTGTTGACCCCCCCCCCCAGCACCAAGAAGACAGAGCATCCCTTGCCCCAGAGCCCCTATCTATACCGTGTGGCTAATAGCCACTGATGGACCTCCTGAAGGCACCTGGTATTTCTGGCCACTGTGTGATACAGAGTGTTGGGCTGGATGGGCCTTTGGCCTGATCCAGCAATGGCGTCTCTTATGTTCTCTTATGTTAACTGATTTTCAAACCTTACATTTGTTTTGCACCCCCTTCGAAATCAGTCTGTACCATCTGCAAGAAGGTTAAAATCTCTTCTCAAAATGTCTTCCGTTTTATGATGCAGCAACTGACATTTAGACTTGGTGTGTAGCTTGGGACAATTCAGTCACACAGCTGCCAAGACGTACAGTAGGGAGATTAGTTCCTTGAATTCGAATGGTTCAACTGGCATGTATAATGTGCATTTATAGACTTACTCAATTGTGTCATTTGTTCAGCAGTCTGGGGAACTGACATTGATGTGTTTGTAAGGACAGGCCAAGGCCTGTCCTTACAAACACATCAATGTCAGTTCCCCAGACCGCTGAACAAATGACACAATTGGGTAAGTCTGGATGGCCCAGGCTGACCTAATCTGGTCAGATCTCAGCATCTGAGCAGGTTCACCCTGGCTAGTGTTTGGTATGAAAACACCAGGTGGCAGATCCTCTCTGAATGCCTCTTGCCTCGAAAACCCCATAAGGAGTCGCCATAAGTCAGCTGTGACTTGATGGCAGAAACAAACAAGCAAAAAGGACAGGACATGGAAGACGAACGGGAAGGAGTGCAAAAGTTATTTCCTTCTGATTACAGGGCGTCCTTTCCCGGATCTTTCTAGTTTCTCATGTTTGAGGAAATCCTGCCAAGGTATCCTCAAATCTTTCTTTATTGTTAGGAAGGCCAGAAACTTAGAAACAAAGGAAATTGTGGTTCTTGGGATTCTTAGGCAGGTTTGAGTTACAGTGTGACCAGGGATTCATGCGCATTTCCAGACAACCTCCCCCTCTCCCGTTGTCCTGTCTGTTCTCTGCAGTCGCTCTGTTCTTTGCCTTCTTCAGAGCTGCCGGTGAAGTTTGTCCGGGGCCTCTCAGATGTGTCAGCACTTCAGGGGGACACAGTGCTGTTTTGGTGTGAATTGTGCAAAACTAAGGGTGATGTATCGTGGTTGAAGGATGGCCAAGAGTTGGAACCGAATGAGCGCCTGCAGATTCGAGCAGAGGGCCGAGAGCGTTCTTTGACCCTGAGCCAGGTGGGGCCTGAGGATGCTGGCGAGTACTCATGTGAGAGCAAGGAGGACCGCACCCTGGCTATCCTCACAGTACAGAGTGAGTCCTAATGTCCTTAGAGTTACAGTCCTCTGATTCCAATAACCCATATTCAGATTCCTCTATGCATCATGGTGGCAGACGTGAGGACTGAAGATACCCCACAGGGCTGGTGACATCTGTGCTCTGTCCTTCATTCTGATAAGAGCTGTTCGTAGTTCTGATAAGAGCTGTTCTTGAAAAAGGGCAGGGTATAAATCCAATCTCTTCTTCTTCTTCTTGAAAAAGAGCAGTTTCTGTCAAGAGCTCTCTCAGCCCCACCCACCTCACAGGGTGTCTGTTGTGGGGGGGAAGGGAAAGGAGTTTGTAAGCCACTCTGAGACACCTTTGGGTAGTGAAGGGTGGGGGATAAATCCAATCTCTTCTTCTTCTTCATAAAGCTGAACAATACTGGCATGGGGAGAAGTATATGTGGGGTCCTGCCTAGATAAAACCTATAACTGTTCTGTGAGGGGCTACTGGTCACAGACTGGCAGGAAATTATGCAAATAGGCATATGAGGTAAACACAAGGAGTCCAATACAGACCCAGTGTCAAACTCGGGCCTCGTTTGCCATAGGGTTCTTAACTGCCTGTCTTTGATATCTGTAAGCTTACTGCCTTGTTTCACTCTGGCTGGGAATGGCGGGGCGGGGAGTGTGTGAGTGCGTGTGTGGAGTTGCTTTGCTTAGAGTCACGCAAGCTTGTAATTGCATCCATGTGGGGCCTCCCCTTGGTGGGAAGTATGTGTGCTTGACCTTGAGTACCAGACACTGGTACCAGACACTGCTAGATAATGTAACCATAGATTTGCAGGTGTTGTAGGAGGGCTGATGGTGTACCGTAGATTTTGGTGGGCTGGATGTATGGGTGTCATTGGTCTGGTCACTGGGGGAGGGATTGTTTGAAAGATGTATAATTGCAGAACTAGCGCCAAGGGAGTCAGTTCTGACACAGACTCATCTATGCTTGAAACCTCTTTACCTCTCAATAAACAAATCACTGCCAAGAAAGTGTTGGGAGTGAGTTCTTTCAAGACCTGACACCCAGCACTTCTCCCCCAGTCCCCAGGATCGTGGAGATCATTTCTGAGCTGTACAACTTAACAGTGTTGGAGGGGGATGATGCTGCCTTCAAAGTCGTGATGTCTCCTGACAATGTGGCCCTGAAGTGGCAGCTGAATGGCCAAGACGTGGTACCCAGTGAACGGCTTACCACAACAAGAAATGGGTTGTGCCATACCCTCACAATACGACAGTGCCGGCTGAGCGACAGTGGCACTGTGGCTGTCAACGCAGAAGGCCTGGTGAGCACAGCCAGGCTGAGTGTACAAGGTAAATAACCGTCAAGGCAACACCAGACATATTGCTTGGGGAAGAGTCATGGGAATCTCAGCTCACTGGGGAGGGGATCCTGCTCCAGCTGTCCATCAGGTGCTCAGTGGAACCAGATGGGCATCAGCGACCCTTCACCATCCACAATGCCAGACGCTTAGACCAAGTACAAGATGGGACTCCCAGATTTACAGTGAGTCAAAAGCAAGGGTGGTGCCTGCTCTGTTCCCGCCCAACCTCAGTTCTGAATTCTGCACCAAGAAAATTCAAATTGTATGATCTGAATAAATTGTAATTAATTAAAAACAATTTCCTATATTTGCCAATTTGACATTGGGAAGAAGTACAAGCCTGAACCCCATGGGTCCCCAGGGCAGCTGTTCACATAGAACCAGACCACTGTGTATTTTTAAAAATAAATGTATTAAGTTTATTTCAAGTTCAAATAATATAAAAGTTTATTCTATTGCTAAATCGATTCTCTAAAATCATGCAGCAAGAAAGCAAAGAAACTAGCTCAACTGTCTGACACTTTTAGGGCTGGCACTAAGAACATAAGAGCATAAGAGAAGCCAACGTTGGATCAGGCCAATGGCCCATCCAGCCCAACACTCTGTGTCACACAGTGGCCAAAAATACCAGGGGCCATCAGGAGGTCCACCATTGGGGCCAGGACACTAGAAGCCCCCCCACTGTTGCCCTCCCCCCAAGCACCATGAATACAGAGCATCCCTGGCCCCAGACTGAGAGTTCCTATCTATACCTTGTGGCTCATAGCCACTGATGGACCTCAGCTCCATAGGTTTACCCAATTCCCTGTTGAAGCCATCCATGCTTGTAGCCGCCACCACCTCCTGTGGCAGTGAATTCCATGTGTTAATCATTCTTATAAGATAGCACAAACCTTAAGTTCCAAAGTCAGAGGCCAAAGTCAAAGGCGTTCTCTACGCTGCTAGCAAGTGCCATTCAAGCAGTTCATAGGTCTTTGGCCCAACAGGATCTCAACTAGTCTCTTTTATCTCGGGCCTTAGCTGAATTATAGTTTTTGGCCCAGTAACATCAGGTGAAGATAACATCCAATCAGAACACGCTCTTAGGAGAAGCCTCTAGAAGATTAGATCGTCACCCCTGGCTCTCCTCTCCCCACCCCACCCTATGGGCTGCAGGCTCTCATGAGACACCAATCATGCCACCTTCACCTCTGATCTTGAAGATGATAAGAACTATATAGGCTGAGGAACCAATTAGTAACACCAACAGGATGAACTTGGCCCATTACTGTTCACATTAACCCTTGAGGGGGGGCCAGGATGGCTTTGCCTCACAAACATGCTTCAGCTTTCTGCTTTAGACATGAAAGACACCTTACTGAAGTGTAGTGGAAGTCCTCCTTAGATCCTACCTTTGTCTTCTGAAATCATGCCAGGCACTGCAAGTACAAGTTTTATCACTGTAGCTCTGCTGGTTCTCAGTTTGTACTTATTAAAAATTAAAGCTAAGCTTCTCAAGATGCTGAATTCTGAAGCCAGAACCTAATTCTGTGCTTGCAAACATATGAAATAGGTCTACCCTCGTGTATAATGATCAGCATATAGGAGTTTACAAATCCAGGGTTCCCTCCAAACAGAGAGCCAGATATCATTGACTGAGATGTGTTTGGGAAAGGTAAGAAAGGTGTTCTTGGTGTTTCCTGTACTGAGCTCTTACCCTTGATGTCTCTTCCTGCAGAGGCTCAGGTGCTATTTGTACAGACACAGCGTGACTTGGTGGCTGAGGAGGGTCAGGACGTGCACTTGGAGGTGAAGCTAAGCTTGGAGAATGCGGAAGTGCAGTGGATGAAGCAGGGCATCCTGCTCCAGCCATCGGTCAAATACTCCATGGAGGCACATGGGCATCAGCGAGCCCTCACCATTCACAACGTTGAACTCTCTGACCGAGGCACCTACCGTTGCGAGAGCCTGCATGACCGCACTCAAGCCAGGCTGAGTGTGGAACGTATGTGTCAACCTCTGGTTTCTTCCCCTGTCCTGTCTGTTGTAGATTGGAAGTCCCACTGGCATCAACAGTGACCCTTCTTTGTTCTTTACAGCAGGTAGCTCTGTCTTGGTGTTCAGTGCCAAGTACTAGCAAGAGTTCCAAAAGGTTGAGTGGCTCCAGTCAGAATGGAATGCCCATTTCTAGGCTAGGGAGGGAATGATCCTCTGTGACAGTGGGAGGGGTATGCTGGGACTGCATCCCTTGGGAAGGGAACGGAGACCTTGTATTCTTTTTGCCCGCTTGCTATTGCTCCTGGAGAGCAGACCCCTTTCCCTGTGAAAATGGATCATAAGAACATAAGAGACGCCAATGTTGGATCAGGCCAAAGGCCCATCCAGTCCAACACTCTGTATCCCACAGTGGCCAGAAATACCAGTGCCATCAGGAGGACCACCAGTGGGGCCAGGACATTAGAAGCCCTCCCACTGTTGACCCCCCCCAAGCACCAAGATGACAGAGCATCACTTGCCCCAGAACCCCTATCTATACCTTGTGGCTAATAGCCACTGATGGACCTCTGCTCCATATGCTTATCTAATTCCCTTTTGAAGCCGTCCATGCTTGTAGCCACGACCACCACATCCTGTGGCAGTGAATTCCAAGTGTTAATCACTCTTTGGGTGAAGAAGTACTTCCTTTTCTCCGTTCTAACCCGACCGCTCAGCAGTTTCATGGCGTGCCCACAAGGAGTTCTTGTATTGTGAGAAAGGGAGAAAAGTACCTCTTTCTCTACCTGCTCTATCCCATGCATAATCTTATAAACCTCAATCATGTCACCCATCAGTCGTCGTTTCTCCAAGCTAAAGAGCCCTAAGCGCCTTAACCTTTCCTCATAGGGAAAGTGTTCCAACCCTTTTATCATTCGAGTTGCCCTTTTCTGCACTTTTTCCAAAGCTATAATATCCTTTTTAAGGTGTGGTGACCAGAATTGCACACAGTATTCCAAATGAGGTCGCACCATTGATTTATATAGGGGCATTATGATATTGGCTGATCTTTTTTCAATACCCTTCCTAATAATCCCCAGCATAGCATTGGCCTTCTTTATTGCACTCTGTGCTGAGCTCTTATGCCTCCTTTCCTCCAGCCCGAAGAGTGACAGTGAGGAAACCACTATTGGATGTGGAGACTGTTGAAAAGGAAACGGTGACCTTTGAGCTGGAACTATCACATGCCAACGTGCCTGGGGTATGGACACGTGACGGCATCCGCATGAAGCCCAGCTCCACCTGCCGAGTGAGCATGAATGGTTGCGTGCACAGTTTAACGCTGATGGGGCTCACCCTAGATGATTCGGGTACTGTGGCCTTTACTGCTGACACTGTGCGGAGCAGCGCCCGTCTTCTGGTCCGAGGTACTGAGGCGGGTAGGAAAAAGGGGGGGGGAATTGACTCTGGTGGATGAGAATTGCCTGCTTGTACATAGAGTGAGTCAGGGATGAGTGGAGGGGGAAGAGCAGTGGAAAAGCGAGATGACTGGTGCTCAGGGCTCTTTTTATAGAAAAAGCCCAGCAGGAACTCATTAGCATAATAGGCCACGCCCATCAGCAGAAACTCATTAGGATTGGCTACATTAGGGCATTACCATATTGGGCCACACCCCTGACAGCACAGCTCATTAGCCCATTAGGCCGCACCCCCATGTTACCAAAAGTGTGGTCATCCAGCCGCACCCACCTTTCCCTTCTTATTCTGTTGACCTTGTTTGTGGTCAAAACCCAGGGCCTTTTTTTGTAGCCGGAACTCCTTTGCATGTTAGGCCACACACCCCTAATGTAGCCAATCCTAATGACTTTCTGCTGTTGGGTGTGGCCTATTATGCTAATGAGTTCCTGCTGGGCGTGGCCAACTCGGGAGCCAGCCGGAACTCCGTTCCTGTGCGTTCCTGCCCAAAAAGAGCCCTGGCTGATTTCTGGCATGAGTCTGCCTTCACGTATGCAGTTGTTTGGCATCGGAGCCCTGTGTATTGTGGGCCATCTGCCTTGAACTGCAGTGCTGATATTGCCCGCTGCCCAGCTGTGCCTTTGCATCTGGGTTTTTCAACAGCTGAGCAAAATAATGATTTGATTTGATTTACTAGATTTCTACCCCGCCCTCCCGGCCTAGGCTGGCTCAGGGCAACTTTCATAAAAACAACATAAAATTTACAATAATATAGAATAAAAATTAAACAGCATCAATTAATACAAATAACAATTCTAAAACCATAAAACATAATAAAGGGCTAGTAGTGATGATTCCACAGCCGTTGTTGTTGAGTTCTCTCCTCTCGCAGTCGGCTCCTTGAGCTTCTTAGAATGTCTTCGGCGGCTGGCTCAGGCTGTAGCTAAAGTCCCAGGGGAAACAGGGCTCTCCAGACAATGGCTGCCAGTTGTTAGTAGTCACGGCAGCTCCAAAAGCCTGGCGGGAGAGCTCCGTTTTACAGGCCCTGCGGAACTGGAAAAGGTCCCACAGGGCCCTGGTCTCTTCTGGGAGCTCATTCCACCAGAGTGGAGCCACCACCGAGAAAGCCCTGGCCCTGGTTGCTGCCAGCCTGGCCTCCTTGAGACTCCGGAGGGCCAGCCGATTCTGGGCCCCTGAACGCAGCGCTCTCTGGGGTACATAGGGGAAAAGGCAGTCCCTCAGGTATGTAGGTCCATGGCCATATAGGGCTTTAAAGGTAAGAACCTTGAAATGAATCCGGTATGCTATAGGCAGCCAGTGCCATGTCTTTAGCATAGGCTGGATGTGCTCCCGAATAGGGAGTCCCATCAAAAGCCTGGCCACAGCATTTTGCACCAGCTGCAGCTTCTGGATCTGAGACAAGGGCAGCCCCATGTAGAGGGCATTACAGTAGTCTAATCTCGAGGTGACCATTGCGTGGATCACTGTTGCCAAGTCGTTGCATTTCAGGAAGGGAACCAACTGCTTAATCAGCCAAAGGTGGTAGAAGGCTGACTTGGCAGTGGCTGCTACCTGAGCCTCCATTGTTAAGGAGGCATCTAGGAGCACTTCCAGACTCCTAACCTGTGGCGCTGACACCAATGATGCCCCATCGAAGGTCGGGAGCGGGAATCCCTACCCTCGGGCCCTTCCAACTCAGGCACAGGACCTCTGTCTTCGTTGGATTCAATTTCAGACGGCTCAATCTAAGCCAACCAGCCACGGCTTGTAATGCCCAGTCTAGAGCTTCTGGTTTGGAGTCGGACCGGCCGCCCAATGACAGATAGAGCTGGGTGTCGTCCGCGTACTGGTGACATCCCAACCCATGCCTCCGGGCAATCTGGGCAATATAACAAAAAGTGCAAAGCCTCGAATTCGACTACCCCCACCCAGTGCTTACCCTGCGTAGTGCTCTTAAATCTTCCTTGTCTCAAACAGCAGAGCCAGTCTTTTGGCTGTGGCTGTCTCAGGTACATCCACTGTGTTCTGGGGCACTTGCATCTTTCCTTCGCACTTTACGGGCTAAGCACAGAAAACACTGGCACAAAAAATTAATGTTCCAGTAGTGCTGCATAAAGAGTGAAGAATCTCAGAACTCTGGCAGGTTAGGAGATTTGTAGACGGGGGAGGGCTTCAGTTGCTGGGCCATAGTCCTCCAAAGCAAACGTGGATGAGGACTGCGGGCTGGTTTGCTGTGCCGTGCTGGAGTGGGGTGGTGCCCCTGGCTTAGCTAAGCCCAGCACGTTGACCGCTTGATATCTTTCCAGTCTCCAACCTGCACCTGTCCCTGTCCCTGCAGAGCCACCCGTCACCATGCTGCGCTTTCCCCAGGATATGAGCGTCCCTGAGACAGGCTTGGCCACCTTTGAGTGTGAGTTGTCCAGGCCTCTGGCTGACGTGAAGTGGTACAAGGTGAGAATGCGACTCGCTGCACTTCACTCCCTTGTCTTCCCTGGATCTCCCCCACTCTCCCGAGGACCATGGCTCTCCTTCTTCCTCTTCTTGTGAAAGAGTGAGCCAACACGGCTGATTTGCATGTCCCAGTTCATGCCACCTCTGCCACCACCCTCCACCTGTGCCCTCGGGAAACCTGACGGTGGCACTCAACCCAGGGCTTTCCTGCTTCCTCCTGCCCCGATCAGCCCTTCATCAACCTTTGTTTTTCCGGCTCTCATAGGATGGGGAGGAGATCCAGATCAGGCCCAACTGTCGCATGTACTCAGTGGGCCGCAGGCGCCTCTTGCAGCTTATCCACTGTAGTCTTGAGGATGCAGGTTGGGGTGTGCTGGAGAATCCAGAGCCTCTGCCAGACTGTGTGTTTTTGGTACGTATGGCTTGTTGGATACAGCAGCAAACCTAAGGGAGGGGGGGGGATTGAAGCTGGGACTGGCCGCCCAGCCTCCTGTTCTCAGGGGTCTGCTGGTCTCTGCTTTATGCCGTCATGCCCCCTCCCGCCACCCTGATGGCTGCTTCGTGTGCCACGGAGGTGGGCTGTGGATCATCAGCACAGCTATGAGTCAGAGTCTTGTTCTTGAAGCTTGTACAACTTGTACAGGAAGCTGGGTTTAGCATAAATGATCTTTTAAAAAATCCTCACTATAAGAACATTTCATCAAGGGAAAAGCATGCCCAGGAAGGGAAGGCGGTGGAATCTTTATCTTTAAGACCTTTCAAGACGACATTTGACAGTCCCTGGTCATGGTGGTGGGTTTATGTTGTTGCGTTGTTAAAGCACGGATGGCTGGTCTTAGAATAAAGACTATAAACTCAATGACGATGATCCCTTCCAACTCTGTGGCGAGAGAGTTAGAAAGCAGGCTGAAGAGGAAGGATCGTGTTTAACTGTTCAGAGCTTAATGCGAGCCAAGAAAGAACATGCTTTTAATACCACATCTGCCCTGACATATGAGAAGCCATAAATAAATTATGAATGCCTCTAAGCTCGTGCAGAGCATGCATCTGTTTTACCACTTGGGAGAGATTGTCAGCCCCCCTCACTCCCCACCCCAGATCTGGAATGAGGGGGGAATGACTTCCAAATCAGTATATGTGGCACCATGTTGCACTCCAACAACTCTGATTTTAGAATCAAGAGCCAGTTTGGTGTCGTGGTTAAGTGCGCGGACTCTAATCTGGGAGAGCCGGGTTTGATTCCCCACTCCTCCACTTACAGCTGCTGGTGTGGCCTTGGGCAAGCCATAGTTCTGATAAGAGCTGTCCTTGAAAAAGAGCAGTTTCTGTCAAGAGCTCTCTCAGCCCCGCCTACCTCACAGGGTGTCTGTTGTGGGGAGGAAAGGAGTTTGTAAGCCGCTCTGAGACACTTTTAGGTAGTGAAGGGTGGGGTATAAATCCAATCTCTTCTTATCAGAAAAGTATATCTGCTCCACAAGCTTATACTGGCAAAATAGTCATGCCCCATACTATGGGAACACTGGGAGCTGTAGTGCTGTTACAGGGAGCAAGGGATCTTTTCCAGATCACTTGGCAGTCCATCATTTCCAGGATTCTCTGGTTTAACTCATGATGGTTAAACCAGTACGAAACCACCAGAAATGTGTAATGTGACCACTGCATGATTTGGATATCAAGGAACTCCATTGGGCTTGTCAGAGATGGGAGTGATTGGCTGCACAGGAAGGGATTAAATAGCTTTTTAAAAGAGTTATACAAATAGAGGCTAGATCTCACAACAGCTATTAGCCATGATAACCAAAGGGAGCTTCCATGCTCAGGAATAGTATACCTCTGAATAACAGATGTTGGCAACAAATCACAGTGGAGGGTTGGTGCCTTGATTTCCTTCTTGTGGATTTCTTGGAAACATTTGGCTGGCTACAGTTGGAAGCAAGATGCTAGACTTCACTTGATCCACTAGGGTTCATCTGACGTTCTTAGAGGCTGGTTTTATTCAAAGTTATTCATGAGCTCCAAATCATGGCTGGGAATTATTGGGAAAGATATTTTGCTGAGTGGGGAATCCATCTATTGGGTCCAGTAATCACTGGAGGATGTTCCTTGACCAGTACTATAGACTTATCAGATTTAGTGTTCTCAGTTAGACCTTTGTGAGTTGCCCTTAGGAAGTCCTCAGTCCCAACTCCATGGATATTTTCCTCTCTGTAGAACGTCAGGTTCAGATTGTGCGGGAGCTGGAAGATGTGCGTGTTCGGGAGAACGAAAATGCTGTCTTCATGTGTGAGGTGTCACTTGAAGAAGTGAAAGGCGAATGGTTCCTGGATGGGGACAGAATCAAAGTAACCAGCACAGTGAAAATAAGGCAGGAAGGTAAGTGGGGATGTTGGATGTGGTGGGTACGACACGTTTCTCTATCCTATTTTATGGTGAGCAAGGACTGCAGCTGCCCGAAATAGACTGGAAGTCTAGTGTGAGGTGTGACGACCTCTTATCTGGGGAGGTCTGGTTTTACTTTAAAATGTTCTTTATGTTTTGTTTTACTGGGTAATCCGGCTGCCACCAGGAAATTTATAAGGCTTTCCAAACCTTTATAATATAATATCTATCACTGGGTAGGTGGATCAAGATTTTAGGCTTTCGAGGAACTATGTGGTCTGAGGAAGGATTCTTTCCAGAGCTGGTATACTTGAATGAAATAGGATTTATTTAAAGAAAGCATAAATACGAGGGTAGAACAATGTAAACAGTACTGGGAATGATTTGAACAATTGCTTGGTGTCTCTCACAAGCTTCTCCTTTACTGACAGGGAGGTTTCAAGTAACATTGTAACATAAACTCAAGGTCATGCAAGTTCACTGTTTCTCTCCTTCAGACCTCAAAATCAACTCCTTATCAACTGTCTTATTCAACTCTAAGACATAGAACTTAACAACCCACACAGGGAAGCTTCTCCTTCTCTCTCATACATAGCTTAACTGCCCTTCCACTCTTCATCAACTGTCATCTCTAACTGACCCTCTTGATAGACATTCAAATCCTCCACACAGCATCCATTCCAAAACCCCTCCCCCTCTCTGTCACTCACCAATCCTATCACTTGCCTGATTCCAGCACTCTAGATTATCATCACAGCCATGCAAACCAAACTTTTAAAGCCACACACACACAGTTAAACATGAAATCATTACATGAGGTGACTTGGGATTCAGCATAGGTGACCTAAGGTGCAGTTTTGGTGCAAGAATCTTCCGCATTGTATTGTGTATCTTCTTCTGCGGGGGTCTTCTTCCATGCATTTCCAGTTGTGTCTGCTTAGGGTGTAGACCGACAGATACAATGTATTTGGAACAGTGGTGTCAGTTACAAAATGGCTTCACCACATTCAGTACAAATGTACTTTTTTTTGTTTCTGGGATGAATTTAAGGAAACTGGTTCTGCAAGTTTTTCTCATGGTTGGGTTGAACAGGGTGGTTAGGTTGAATGGGGTCACAGTCGGGGTCACGGTGAGCCGTGGGGGGCACCTGCTGGCTAGTAGCTTTCATTGGCACAACTCCTCCTCTTGGCAGCCCTTAGTTTTGCAGCATTAAAAAAGGTCATGATTTAGGGGATGGATAGGTTAAGGGGAAGGATGGACTGAAAAAAACAAACGGATGGACTACCCTGCTGGTGCACAGGATAGATGGCTGATCCCACATTCCAGTTGCAGGAACTTCAGCAACAGAAGGTGCAAAGTAGTGCTAACACTGTGGGTGGAGAACTTGCTGTGACTGCTCTAAAAATATTAAGTGTGTCTTTACCCTGTGTGTGCAGAATTCCCTTAGAAAGATCAAATTTGTTTGTTTTTTGTTCTGTCCCACAATAATCCAGTCTAGCATAAATGGCTCAACATCTCACCCTCTGTAAATGCCTGGATTTGGGATACCCTTGCTAATAATGAGATAGCTTTGCTATAGCTTGCAGGGGGTATTTATAGGCACGGTTCAGGGGAAATGTATATTCTAGCACTAGAGAAGAAATTCACTAGAATTATGTAAGAAAATTTGCACAACAATCTTCAGATTGTTGTTTTTTTTAAATGGGAGGAAATGAAAGTTTACTTAATGACTCATTGTGAAGGGAAAGGCAGTCTCATTACTGCACTGAGGCACACTCCTGCCAGAATTTAAGCACTTTTCTCTTCCATGGATTTCATATAACTGTTTCACTGAAATAGGTGGCCAGATTATTCTGCACAGTTTGCTTGTACTTGCTTTGGTTTCTAAAGGTCATACAAAGGCTGGAGCGGGGAACTTGGGTCACTTGTCACAGGCACCATCCAATTACCTGAATATTTGCAGCCTACAATGTGTTTTCCCAGCAACTGCGCAGTGTGGTTTAAATTGCTGAGAAACTGCAGCAGAAGCTCGCCTTTGCAAAAATATGTTTGGAGCATATGCAATAATTCTGTTTCTTATTCTGAAAAGATTGCCTGAAAAGGCCTTTAGTTTTCTTGATGAGGACTACAGCAGGTACACACAGTGCCTTTGCCCACAGCCAGCACCGTTCCAGCTACTGCCTTATGTTGCCTGGATTAAATCCCACTCCCTTTCCTCCAAGGAGTTGTGGCAAAACCTTGCAAGTCCCCGTAAGCATATTGTCACTTTTTTTCTTCTTCACCAGGGACACGGCACTTCCTGCTTCTGTGCTGCGTCCGTCCGGAAGATGCAGGGCAAGTCCGATTTGTGGCCAAGGCAGCCACTTCAGAAGCCTGCCTAGAAGTGGAGGGTAAGGGCTTCCCAGGTGACCTTCAGCCTCAGCTAGTGGAATTGGGTTGGGGATAAGAGGTGAGGGAAAGTGAGGGGAAAGGGTTGACCCCAGGTACTAGTGGGTAGGTATCAGTTGAGAAGCAGACGATGTTTGTGGGGATGGAGATGAATGGCAAGTTTGCATTGCAGGACTGGCAGCTGACATACGTTACATACATTTGGGGTGATTTAATACGTGCAAGCGTGGGGTGTGGGGCTCACTCTCTAGCCCACTGGGATTTCTTCTTCCCTCGACTCATGCGGCTCTGAAAAGAAAAAATAAAACCTTGCAAGGGCGGGGGGGGGGCCTGCTGATGGCTTGCTGCCTAGAGCTGAGCCTTGTTGTCAAGTAGGTGGAAGTGGGTTAGGGTTAGAGTTCTGGGTCAGGGGAGTCAGATTATCAGAGGCTTAGGATCTGCTTCTTCCACAGCACTGCCCATCCGCATCATAAAGCCACTGCGGGACAAGACTGTGTTAGCCCGGCATAAAGCCACACTGGAATGTACCGTGTCTCAGTCGCGTGGGCGAGTGCGCTGGTTTCGCGGTGACACGGAGATATTTGCTGGCCAGAAATATGAGATCTGCAACTTGGATTGTTACCGAACTCTCGTCATCCACTGTGTCGAACCTGCAGATGAGGGCCTGTATACTTGCGATGCACTGGATGATCGCTCCACGGCATGTCTCCTTGTGGAAGGTCAGTGGGAATATGTACATGGGATGGCCAGACATCAGGGCTGGTTATAAGGGAGTAGGCCGTCAGAGCAGCGGAGGAGTGGTCAAAGCACAGAGTGGTGTGCCTGCGCTGGGTGGGAGGGCAAAGCGGAGATGCCACACACTCTGTGTACACGTAGAGAGGAGAGGCTGCTGCGTATCGCATGGGGGGGAAACTGATGCGGTTTTACTCTTTCCCTGCAGCTGAAGGGGTCCACGTGGTGCGGGCTCTGCGCGGGGTGGAAGTGGTGGCTCCTTCAGAAGCGCAGTTTGAGTGTGAAATATCGGCTCCTCTGTCATGCACCCCCCAGTGGAGCCTCAATGGGGAAGAGTTACAGCCCAGTTCACAAGTGCAGATGGAGAGTGTGGGACACATACATAGGTTAAGGCTGTGCCCGACCACTCCCGGCATGAGTGGGATGGTGAAGGTTACTGTGGGCAGCGCCCGCTCCAAGGCCCGGCTCACAGTTCAAGGTACATGTGCTCTGCGGCACAGTTGGCTGGGGTGAAGGGAGTCCCAGAAAATGAAAATGCAAACAATTCCTTATCCTGACGAGACTGACTGCAGATCCCTGTCCTATGACATGGGAAAAATGGGCCAAATCTGTCGCTGGCGTGGGGCACTGGACTCTGAGGCTGAGTCAAGATGTGGGTAACGACCGATCCTGGCACTGGGTGACTGACGGAGGAAGGGGAATCTGGGACATGTTCTTGTTTTTTTCCGACAGAGGGAGGGTGGCTGAACGGTTCTTCTGCGCCACCCCTGTTCTACTTGTATTTTCCTTGGACCTTCTCTGGCAGAAGGCAAACACAGACCCCCCCCCCAAATTAAAAAAACACTCAGCCGGGGAAATGCTTCAGTGGTTTAACAACCAACACCACTACTTTAACTAAAGCCAGTCGGCAGAGTCAGTTTGAGGCAGGTTCAGCTCCCAGTTGGCGGAAGCGGAAAGGCCCTGACGACCCCACCATGAAGTGGGCCACCCAGAACCTTGGGGTCGTTTCTTCACTCCCAACGCTCTCCTTCTCTCCCCGCTGCTGGCACATTCCACGGGGTTCTCCCTGCCGTCACGCCTTCCGCATTGTCCACGGTCAGCCTCTGAAGGGCTGGCAGACACCTCCTCTTCCCATTCCTGACCCATCTGCCCCCAGTGATTCTGGACTAGCTCTTTTAAGGAGTGTTCCCTCCCTTGGCGTTGGCCCTACTTCCACATCTGGGTGGTGGGGGCAAACTGATGGACCCCTTGGAGGCAGACTGCCACTGAAGGACTTCTTAGGACTTGTTTCCCCGCATCCAGGCCAACTGTTGCCTAGTCACCTACCAAGGGCCCTCACAAGGGAGAGTGCTCTGCACCCCAGAGAGCCAGTTTGGTGTCGTGGGGAAGTGCGCAGAGGACTCGTACTGGGAGAACCAGGTTTGATTCCCCCACTCCCCCTCCACTTGCACCTGGCTGGATGGCCTTGGGCAAGCCGTAGTTCTGATAAGATCTGTTCTTGAAAAAAGAGCCGTTTCTGTCAGAGCTCTCTCAGCCCCACCTACCTCCCAGGGGGTGTCTGTTGTGGGGGGGGGGGGAAAGGAGTTTGTGAGCCGCTCTGAGACTCCCTTGGGTAGTGAAGGGCCGGAGGGTATAAATCCAATCTCTTCTTCTTCTTCTTCTACACTGGGAAGCCAATGTTGGGCCTGGGTTGAGACTTGCATCTCACATGTTCCCTAACGTTTTCTTTTCTCTACAGAGTGCTAGCTTTGGGAAGGTCCTGACAGCAGTAGAGCTCTGTGTGGGTAGAGAAAGGCCATGGCTGCCAGGAGAATGTGGAGATCGCAAATTTAACGGTTACATGGACGAACAGAAGAATGGACACAAAGACAATTCCTTTTCCTGTCTCCCTGTTCTGCATGCCAAGGGCAACAGGTTCTGCTTTATTAAATGTTCAATTCCTGATTTCTTTTCCTCGTGCTGTTTGGTAGGTGAGACTGCTATGCTGGGCAACCATCAGGTGGACCCACACGGGAGGAGTGAAGGGCCCCAGCCTGTCACCTCTGAACACCCCCTAGCTTAAGGACCTCTCGTGTCCCGCTGCGTTGCACCACCCACAGCCCGCCCGGAGGGATCATGAGCCATCGCTTCTGAGGCGGCACAAGGCAAGAGCCCCAAGATGGGGCATGTACAGGAATAGGTACACGTGTGTGTGCGCATTTCCAAGCTCACCCCCTTGTGGAGAAACTAGGGTCAGAAAAGGGGGCGGATTGGCTTGCATCTAATAACAGAACCCTTCCTAGGGAAGGACTTTTCTGCTTCTCCCTCCTGCTGCAACCCACAGATTTTGTCCCTGAGGTCTGTAAGCCTTCAGGGACAGCATATGGAATCAAGTGCAGGAATGTTGGAGATCGGCAGAAATGTCTGCCTGCTCTTTCAAACACAGAAGAGTGCTTAAGTCTTTGGAACGGCATGTAGTTAGGTGCAAGTGACAATCTGTGGACTCTGGAGAGAAACCAGATGGCGAGGATGATGGGGTTGTCTGGGCACAATAAAAAACACGGCTTGCTGATTCACAATGCCCCCGCAGTTACAGCTGCCGACAGTCCTGCTGTGAGAGCTGACAAGGGGAGACCACTGGTGATGGCCATGCCGTGCTTCCCAGGTCAGCCAGATGTGCCAGCTGGAGCAGTCCAGGGCCATGGCAGAGACAGTGCAGCAGCAAAGAGGTCCCCCCCCCTACCTGGAGGTCAACGCAGGGGGCAGGCCCCAGGAGGCAGCAGAGGGAAAGGAGGCGTGGCCGGGTGTAGCACAGCAACTGGCCAGCACCTCCCAGGCCTTTGGGCGCAGGGGATGGCAGCCTCCGTAGCCCCACGTGGCTGAGGGCACAGCCCTTCAGAGGAAGACAGGAGGGAGGGGCAGGAAGGCTGGAAACCCCAGCGGGCACCCCAGTGGCCAGGAAGCCTGTCACTCTGATGGGTCCTGCCCTTGGGGTACAGCGAGTGGGCGAGTCCGGAAGTGTTCTGCCTCCAGGGAGCGCTTTAAAGGGTGATTCCTGGAAGAACCAGGGATGAAGGGCCAGACCTATCTCAAGAAAGGCAGCTGGCGGGAGAGGGAGAAGGGTGCAGATGCTCCCTCTAAGCTGCGGAGTCTTGTGAGCAGAAATTCTACTTTGTGAGCGACTGCTGGCATTAACGTTGTGAGCAGGTGATTTGGCGACTGCATAAATTAGCTTGCTCTGGAGCCCTCCTCCCTGAGCTCAGACACAAATGTGTGAGCCGGAGGCTAGAAAACTGTGAGCTAGCTCACACTAACTCAGCTTAGAGGGAGCACTGGTGCAGAGACCTCTCCCCCCTGCTCTATTCTGAGGCTTTCCTGGGTCGAGCCTTGCCGGAAGGAGATGCTGGAAGGGGCAACAGCTCCAGACAGACCCAGAACTGCCTCTGAGCGGAACAGGCACGCGACCTGTGAGATGCGGCGACATGACCTTGCCCCTGCCAAGCAGGCCGACGACGTGGTGCCTCAAAATGTTTCTGTTGTACGGGGTGACTCACGTTATCGCTAACAGCTTCCCCCACGTGCCACCTGCAGCAGTAGGCACACCTCTGCTGTGCCTCCCTCCCCCTCCCCCGCTCTGTCGTCAGGCATATGCCTCCCCCGGCCCTCAGAGGCACGTCGTGGTGTTCCTGCCCACAGCCCCTCTCTTCTGGTACAGTCACTCATGGAGGCGATGCTCTGAAAGGCTCTCTCTCTCTCTTTTTTTTACTTGCGCAGCCGCAGCCCGGCAGCGTTTGGCACATATACAAAAAAGAGACATAACCAAAACAGAAACAAAAACCAAGAGTGCAACGTTTTTCTGTGGCGACAACAGTGGCAATTGGTGATAGAAACATGCAGTTTCCCCATGGAAGAAAGGCCTTGCAGAGCTGTGCTGGATCCTCTCCCAATCCCATTCCTTTCATAGATTCCCCCCCCCCCGGTCCCTTTAACGATGGGGATGACATCCCTCAGAGGGGTGGCAGGTGAGCAAAACCACGACCTCTGACACACGGCTATGCAGGTGAACACCTCTTACTCCCTGCACGTGTTCAACCTGCAGCTCTGTGAGGACAGGTGGAAGAGAAAGCAAGCACCGGTCGGGGCCTGTGGGGAAGGGAGTCTGCTCTCCTCTCTGTATTCCTACTTCTGACAGTCCAGCAGAGCTCCTCAGGCCCATGTCTTTGTCGATAATAAATTAATACAAATAACGGCAACAAGAATATGTACATGGGTATTCCCCACCCACTCCAGGACGAGGAGCGGGGGACACGGGGGAGGGGGAGGGGAGAGGCTTGCTGCCCGGATGCCGGCCAGAATGTCCACATGCGCCCCAGCTCCACCACACACACTCACGCTTGCACACTCACTGTGACAGCTGCGCAGCCCAACCCAGGTGGCCCAGGTGCCCGTGCCCACCCTTTCCCCCCTCCCTCCTTCAGCTGCCCATTTAAACAGAATGCCAGGCACTGGTGTGGGCTAGGGGCCCAGGGCCAGAGGACCCCATTTCCCTGAGCTGGCTAGCTCCAGCCAGACTGGAGTGAGCTGAATCCAATCCTGCCGCCATCAGTACAGAATGGCACTCATGCCCCTAAGACAGTCCTTGAGGTCAGTTCACAGAAAAGACAAGTTCCAGGACAAGAACTGGGTCCATCATGCGGCAAGAGACCACAGGAACACCCAGTCTTTGGGCTGCTCCAGTGGAGGTGTACGGGGAATGTTGGCAGTTTCTTGTCATTTTCATGAAGGTGGGCACAGATGATCAACTGTTCATCTTTCTGGCCTCCCTCTGGAGTCCTGCATTCCACAGTCCCTGCCTAGATGGGTTGTGCAACCAGGTCTCTCTTCAGCCCTTTGCCCCCCAAGCACATGCTCACATGCCTCCCTCGCTCCTTGTTCCATGGTAGCTTTGTGAGAGCCAATGTAGCACTGGGGAAGAATTCCACATATAACAACATGTGCATGTCGAGAGATGCTGGACTGCATCTGCAGGTCCAGGCCAAACCCACAAATGCCAGGGAAGAGTATCTGCGAGTCCGGATGGCAGCACAGTTGCGAAGATATCCACAGAACCAGATCCATGTGACCGTGGAAGACAGTGTCCTTGTGGCAGATGCTGGACTATACCCGCATGGCAGGGCCGGAGCCTGTCGTCAGGGGCACGGTGGAGCCACAGTCATAGTCCATGTCGATGGCGGCATGAGCACTGGCCAGGAGGCTGTTGAGAGAGGAGCCCGTCTGCCGCTCCCGGAAGCTCTGGATGTAGCTCTGCAAGGCGGAGGAGAAGAGAAAAGGTGGCGCTGCCTTCCATCCTCCCCCCCCCCCATTCCCCGTTGTAGCTTCACAACACAGAAAGGCCGTCCTCGACTTGTTTCAGGGGTCTCTCGGGCAGACAGTGTGTGGCTCTGCTGTCTGCTGAGAGTAGATCAGCCTGGGCTTCCTTGTTCCTCCACATGCTACCCTGAGCTGTTACTGGGACTCCTCCTCAGCCCTCTAGCCTTCTCTCCTGCACACCTACTGAGAAAGGCTGGCAGCACTTCCTGATGAGGGATATTCACAATCCCAGAAAAGACTGTCAGAGAGGCTACGTCTTGACATGCCTGTGCCTAGCCTTGGCAGACCAGAAAAATGGAAGTGCTTTACACTTTGTGAGGCAGTAACGTTTGCTGCAAATACACTGGGATCTGCTGCAGCAGATTCATATGAAAACTGGCCAGCAGATGCACACTACTAAACCTGCAACAGACAGCACTTTGCAGCACTTATCACTCAGTGTTATATGAATGCTGCTCACATTTTACAAATTTGCCATGAGTTTACTGGAACCTGAGTCACCTTGCAGTTGTGACCATGCCACAGTACTACAGTTCTCTGTGCATCTGGGTATCTCAGGGTGGGGTGTGGGGGGAGTGGGTGTTTTAAACCACAACTTACCCCAGGCCATGTGCTGATGAGTTCTAAGGAAACAAGTCAGCACTGGCTTACTAGGTGTAAAGGTATATTGGCCACTGGTTAGCATGGATAATAAAATTCCCCACCTCATATGAGAGATGCCAGATCCGCTGTTATACCAGGAGAAAGTCACTTTATTTTCCCTACACCCATCAGCAATGTCCACAGTTCCCCAAAGGCCCCATGGCAACACTACTGATCACAGGCAGAGATTCCTCTGTGGCTAAAGAGAACTTTCATACAGACTGCAAAAGAAGTTAGAGGTGCTTTTCTGCACTTCTGGCCTGCAAGAACTTGGAAACGGGTGGGCACTCTATGCCCCCCCTCTATGTGGGGCACTCCCCCACACCTGCAGCACTATGCCTTACTGGCTTAGCTCTAGTTACCCTACATATAGTGGCAGCATTCATTGAATTGGTCTACAGTGCTGGAGTCCTGCTCATCTCTGGTTTATTCTACTCTTTTATGGGAACATCATAGAAGTACTTTGTCCATGCACAGTGGACACAGAGGCAAAAGGCCTTTCCGCCACAGAATGGTTATTGAACTGGGGAAGCATCAGGTGAGAAACTTCCAGGAAGCTGGTGCCCCATTTTTTCATCCAGGGGTGAAGAGTGAGTGAGACGGTAGAGACAGACAGGAAGGCCAAGAGGAAAAGAATGGGGGATAACGGACCCCTTCCATAAATGTCTTGCTAGACAGAATCCCCCCTCCCCCAATGTAGCTGTGACTCCCAAATCCCCACTGCCCTGCCCATGCACAGAGCGGCCTCCACTTACCGGGGAGAGGACATCTCCATCGAAACGGCGCACAGGGTTTGGCTTGCGGCGGTAGGCAGGCTCTGGCGGGTGGGCCTTATGCTGCAGGTGTGGGTGAGGATGCGGTCGCCGCTTCTTCTTCTTCTCTTTGCGCTCTTCATGTTGCTTTATCCTCATTAGCTGGACACGGCGTTGCTGCCGACTGATAATCACTGTGGGGGGAAGAAAGAGTGAGGTGAGACAAGAAACCTAGAGTGACAAGTGTATGATTAGGAGCCGCCACCACCACCACCACCAACAACAACTGCCTCATGGGAACATGGGGCACTGGGATGGCCCATTTAAGAGCGATGGCCCACTATAAGATCGAGTTACAGTATTCTGATGGGGCGGTACTGCCGATTCGGGCTTCAGTAACATCTACTGAACACCATCCTGACATGACTTATTTGACCAAATGATTAATATCAACATCACTGAGCACTTTGATTTTGATTAAATGTAACAAGTAGTTTAACTCTAGGATAAACAATACTCTATGTCTGAATTAGGACAAAAAATTTAATCTGCATTGCACTGATCAATTAAAGTTTTTATCACATTAAAATATGTTCCTAATTAACCAGTGGAAACTCGTATGCCTTTCCCCCTTTCATTAGCTACATTTGTTGGCTAAACCAGAGGTGGCTTTTCCTTTCACTTTGAAGGCAAAGTCAGTACACTTTTTGTTTCTTAGAGTGAAGTTCTATGACTACTTTTAGTGACAAAAACCAATGCAACTGAAGCTGACAGTGTTGAATTGAGATCAGTGAAAGTACGACTCATGAATCTGCAATTTTCAACATACTGATAATCTTCAACTTGTACAGTTGGCGTTTATGGCTTTAATATATTGGAAACCTGATTTCTTAACAATAACAATGTATACCACATTTCCAAAGCTCATTAAAATATTAAAGAGTGCCTTTCTTCTAAAAAAATAGAGTATTAGCTTCTGTTTATTAAACTTTATATCATCCACGTATTTTACAAGGAAGTATCCATTTTGTACATAATCTGCCAAATGGGTTCTGTAATATGTAAATGTATCCAAATATGACTGACAAAAAGTCAAATAACTAAACGATTATCAGCCAAACAAAGAAATTGATTAAAAGCGTTCACTGTGAACCCGCATAGCCCGTCTTTTTGTTTTATCGACCTGGAGAAAAGCGATGCACCCTCAGCATTCTGCAATCATATTTCCTATGGGCAGTGTCTGTTAAATCAGTGTAGAGGCAGTGTCTGTAAAAATTAGGCAACCTAAGAAAAAACTGCCCCTTGATACCTGCAAAGGGTCTGCACACTGAGATGCTGTAAAGAGCACAGCTATAGGTACCGGCAGAAAAAATGGGAACCCTACTTTTGCCTGAACACAGGCATGACTACATGAAGAAACAAAGGGCTGGCCATTTCCAGAAGAAAGGCCTGCTCATGCCACAGATTGCAAAGATAAACCTACTCCGGTTATACAGAACCTGGTATCCAGAATAGTCAGGCCTGTGTTGGCCAACACAGCCCTGACCACAGTTGGTAGAGAGCCCTGTTCACTATGCATGATACCTTTCTGGGATGCTAAGCCAATGTGGAGTGCCTGTCCAAGTGCACATCCCAAGCTCCACCAGCAATAACTGACAAGCAACATCTTATCACTCCCAAGAGTTTATTTGCACTCAATGAACCCATAATTAAACAACTGTACAATCTTTTGAAAGGAGAGAAATACTACCCCAGCCCCAAAGATTTTGGTATCCATGTGCTGACGGAATTCTCCTCAATTACATGGGAGGCGGATGTGGAGCTGGAATTTAACATAATCCCAAAAACAACGGACTGGTATCTGAACTGGAGACAACGGCAGGATAACGCTCCAAGTCAGAGTGATCCAATGTGGCTGCTCTTTTGTTCACTTCCAACCCTCTCCCCCTCCATCCAATGAGTGCCCCACTCACCCTCTGTGTGCGAGTATCCCTCGGCTGTGACTTTCCACTGCACCAGGACGCCCAACAATGCCAGGACAGGCCAAGTACCTAGGATGACCCAGCTGTACCAGCAGATGGGCCTGGCCGGTGCCACCTTGACGCGCTCATAGACATACTGCAGCAGCAGGAAGAGCTCAACGAAATAGTCGGCAGTGGCTGTCATGACAGCGCTGCCAAAGACAGCGGTGGACAGTGTGGTGAAGAGGCGCTGCCACTGCAAAGTAAGCACAGCGCACAGCATACCCACGCCCAGCAGCAAGCCGATAGGGATCCAGACAGTGGGTGGGTGGTAGAACTGCTCCATCACCACCAACGTGGCCACGGCCAGCAGCAGCCCCAGCAGCAGCCCCACCATGAAAAGCCCGACGCTGCGCACCAGCATGGTGACCAGCCCACAGAGCACCCCGATACCCAGGCCGATGCCCACGGAGGCCTCCACACTCAGCTGCGTATCCAGCACTCGCTCTTTGTAGCACAGCATGAAGATGATCACGGAGCCAAACATGAGCCCTGTCAAGAACATCACTGCCTTGAAGCAACGGTAGCCTGAGGAAGGGAGGAAGCAAACGGGTAGGGTGAAAGTCGCAAGACAGATCCAACCACCTGTTCATTCCAGCAGGGCAGGGCCATCCCCATTCTGCTGGGACACACGCTGTGGAGGGCAGGGGACCTGCCCAGTGCATGACCCTCCTCCTCCTCCTCAAATGGTTCTGCTGCTGTATCACAAAGGGGTATCCAATGGGGGATGTGGGGTTTTTATATCCAGGGCATGTCCCTCCAACTGGGCAGCTTTCTGCACTCCTGTCTCAGCTCTGTAACATCTAGCTGGAGGCCCAGGAAAGCCAGCTAATCTCTCCACTGGGGCACTGCCTCGCGATGTAGTCTGCAAAGCCCACTCTGGTCCCTATGAGCTACTGGGACCTTTGCCATCCTCCAGTTCAGAATGGCAGAATCAGAAGTACTGAAACAGACCTTCAAGTACTCTGCTGTTATACGACTGCCTTGACGAGCATTAGGACTGCAACGGTGAAGACTGACAGAGCAAGTTAGCAAGAGGCTGCAAAAAGCTGGCAGCCAGCCTCTTCCTTCTCCCATACAGCCCAGTGTTAGACATATTTATTCAAAAGTACGTCCCCCACCCCTCAAATGTTTCTCATAAGCCCAGGGTTGCAGCCTCAAGAGCATTGCAGCGGCAGACAATGTGACACAGGGCTAACTAAACATGGAACGGGCTCTGTGGACCTGGTAATGGCATTCAGACAATCAATTGCCTCCACTCTCCGTGCCTTGTGACACGTTCCTGATTATCTGCTATACCCCTAGCAAGGCCCAATGTTCCCGACCCTTCTCACCAAAGAAGCAGTAGATGATCCCAAAGAGGCAGCACATGGCACAAACGACTGAGGGCACCACTTGGTACCGCCGCTCAATCTCCTGGTCACAGCTGTGGTCCTGGTCCTGGCCGGGTGCATGCGGCAGCAGAGGAAAGCGCAGGGTCTGTACCGTTGACGTCATGGCTCTGCAGGGTCTTCAGGGTGACGTCAGGCTCCCCACTCCCTCCCTGTTGCCAGCCAGGGGTGCAGCTTCATGGTGTTGTCGCCATCTGTTGAGAGAGCACAGGACAAAAACGGTGAGGCTCAAGCTTCCAGGGACTAACCAGCCAGCAGGGTGACCTACCCATATGAACCCCCCAGCTACCCCTAGGTCAAAGCCACACAATCTCAGGGAGAAGAATGCAAGTCTGTTATAGCAGGACCTTAAGGCAGGACCCCTCGCCATACTCAGCAGGGTTGTTCCACTTGAAGCATAGCCAGTGCCTCCCCTTTTTTCTGGATGGGCGTTGTGAGAGGAGGCAAACCATAATGAAGACTAAATACATGCCAAGATCAGAGCTGGGAACACCCACCCACTCCTGGTCCTTGGCCAAGTCCAACCAGACATGACTGGCAGGCAGGCAGGAGAAGCCCTTTTTTAGTCTTGAGGCTACATTAAATGGCTACAGGAGCCCAGGCATTCAGTGGGTGTCTTTACCTCCAGCTCCCCATGAGCCTTCTTTGATGGTACGGGAAATGATTGGGGATCTTTCTCCACCTCTGTCTTCTCAGTAAGGCAAACCCAGCTTTACAGCATATTCCGTGACAGAAGAGATGCACAACAATTCCGGGAGAGAAAGGTGCTGAGCAGGGATGGGACCACAACTTTCCAAAATGGGAGGGAGTGGCTACAAAGAAAACCACCACCCTATGTTCTCCATGGCAACCAGGGAAAGAACAGATGATACTTTTAATAACATACACACACCCCCTCCCCACTCCTCCCCCCGTTTCTAGCTGCAAGAGCCAGTGAGGCAGGGGAGTGAGTCCCGGGGGGGGGGGGGTAGCCATTTGGAAAAGCATCTGCCAGAGATCCAGTTTCATTAACCCCATGTATGTATGTGTCTGGCTGCCTTGAAGCCCAGCCATCAGGGCAGAAGAGGACTGGCTAACTATAGTAACCTCCCTCCCACTGACTACTTCACCACATACCCATCACAAACAGCAGTAAGAGCAAAAAGAGGCATCTGGCGATTGCTGTGGACTCCAGCATGTGACGCGCTCCCCCCCCCCCTTCTCGGCACTGGCGGCGGACTGCAGGCAGAGAGGCTCCACAGAAAAGCCTTTGTGTTGACGCCTCCCTGCTTACACTGCGATCCCGCAGGATAACTAAGAGAGCAAGGAGCAGAGAAGCTTTCCCCCTGCCCAGGCAAGGAGACAACACTGTGCCCATCCACCCCTGGTTTTAGGGGATCTGTGCCCACTCCCGTGAACTGATTGCAGACAATGCCTCTTTCAACAAGGGGGGAATCCCTTCCACCGTGCTAGGCGAACGACCACACAGGGCGGTGGAGGAAGAGGATGGACGTGCTTAGAACGGCCCCTGAAGGAGGACTGGCGAGAGAGAGAGGCTGAGCCCCCCCTCGCCCCTCCCCCTCCCGGCTGCCCAGGAATAGGTCAGCAGCCAGGAAATCTCTCTTGCCTTCCCTACATCCCTCATTCTCCCCCCACCTTCCAATGAGCACTGGTACAGAAAGCGTGCCATCTGCTGATTGGTACACTCTCTGTTGCTAGGGGAGGAAAGACATTTTCTGATTGGCTCTTGGGAAATTACCAAATAAGTGCCTTTCTTCCAAGCTACATCTTTTTGCTTTGTTTCAACAACTCTGCTTCTTCCACATGCAGCCCACCCGCCCCGTCGCCGCCATCCCTTGCAATATGGCTTCACAGAACCCCACAGTCTCTGGCTTCTCTGCCCCATTACGTGCTTGATTCCTCTCAGTCTTGATCACCCCCCCCCCCAGGCTCCCTAATGCCCCTTAGTCCAAAGCTGCCCCATCCAGTTAGATGCTCGCAACTCATGACGCTCTGGCATCAAGCTTTCCACTTTATTATTGTAGATCAGGATGAAAAGGCTATAATAGATTAATTATCATTGTGACCAAATCAAAAAAATCTTAGCCAGTTTATTATACTGTTGTCAAGTGCCCACATCCCAGTGTCTCATGTCATGCTAGGCTAAGTGCTAGCAATCGCTGCCACAAAATCAAAAGGCCTCTTGGACTATTTTGAAATCTAAACTGCAGCAGCTGAGAATAACAGCATTGTGCTGACCCCTGTGGGCCCCAAGGAGGTGGAAAGAGAGCACAAAAATGTTTTAAATAAATGAATGAATAAAATAACCCAGTTCTTTTTGTGACAATGGGTCCATCACAAAAATGGTTTGGGATAAAAACACTTGGAAATCTGCAACAGAACCTTTCAAGTATGCAGAGGCTCAGATGTGGAGAAGAACTCTGGTCCCCTTTCCTCTGCTGTTCAACATACAGAAAAGCAGCTTCAGTTTCTGATGTCACTTTAGGTCAAAGCAGCCCCCTCTGTTGCACAATGTCAAAAGGTCAAAGGTTAATGAAAGTACTAACCTAACTAATGTAATGCAATTCCTAGGGGTCGACAATCATCTTCCAAGCGGTAATGTCCCACAGTGAGCACATAGCCATTTGGGTTGGACATGTTAGTCTGTGAGCTCCAAAACAAAGAGAGTTCATGCGGCACCTGAGATGACTAACAGAAGCATACGTTTTCATGGATTACAGCCTACATGGTTATGGTCTCTGGCACGTGCAGGCTTATGAAACAACAAATCTATTGGTCTTTGAGGTGCCACATGCAAGGTAGTCATTTATAACATCCCGCTACATGGTCAAGAACATTTTGCCTTACATTCCCTCCCAGTCAAGAAATCCAGAGAAGCAGGACAGAGTGGCAAAATCAGCTTCACCGTGTTGAAGGATACGGTAGACAAGCGGTTTAGACACTGATGAAATGGTCATCTCTGTTGGCATTGTGTGTTATTTTGTAAATTTAGAGTTCTCCAGAAAAAAAAGAGAGGTCATCTCGGTATATCATTACTATCTGGGTTAGATGCCCTCATGACAAGGGGATCAATGAATTGTTCCAAAACAGTGTTCCTACAACAGGACTGACGGTTACAACAGCAATATAATATTCATTGGGGGGGGGGGGATTATGTCAAGCATAACAGAAAGCTGGTTTAGAGGCAGCGTGACAACAGTAAAATAGGCAACATTACAGCAGCCTCTGAACAAACATAAAACCAAGTGACCATGAACATGTAAAGTTCTGCATTTAGGTAGGAAAAAATCAAATGCATAATTGTAGGTTGGGGGAGACTTGTTTTGGCAGTAGTATGTGCGAAAAGGATCTAGGGGTCTTAGTAGACCATACACTGAACATGAGTCAGCAGTGTGATGCGGTAGCTAAAAAGGCAAATGCGATTTTGGGTTGTATCAGCAGAAGTATAGTGTCCAGATCACGAGATGTGATGGTAATCACTTTACTCTGCTCTGGTTAGACCTCACCTAGAGTATTGTGTTCAGTTTTGGGCACCACAATTTAAGAAGGATATAGACAAGCTGGAACGTGTCCAGAGGAGGGCAACAAAGATGGTGAGGGGTCTGGAGACCAAGTCCTAGGAGGAAAGGTTGAAGGAGCTGGGCATGTTTAGCCGGGAGAGGAGATGACTGAGAGGGGATAGGATAACCGTCTTCAAGTACTTGGGCTGTCACCTAGAAGATGGTGTGGAGTTGTTTTCTGTTGCCCCAGAAGGCTGGACCAGAACCAATGGGTTGAAATTAAATCAGAAGAGTTTTTGGCTAAACATTAGGAAGAACTTCCTGACAGTTAGAGTGGTTCCTCACTGGAGGAGATGGTGGGCTCTCCTTCTTTGGAGGTTTTCAAACAGAGGCTAGATGGCCATGGGACAGCAAGGCTGATTCTGTGAACTGAGGCAGATCATGAGAGGGAGGGCAGGATGGGTTGTCTCAGTGCTTAGTTCTCATGGCCCTTTCTTACATACCCAGGGAAATGGTGATTGCCACTTTGGGATCAGGAAACAATTTTTCTCCAGGCCAGTTTGGCTGGAGATCCTGGAGGACTTTTGTCATCTTCTGGGTGTGGAACAGTGGTCACGAGGTGTGTGTGGGGGGAAGGTATTTGTGAATATCCTGTCTTGTGCAGGGGGTTGGACTAGATGACACCTTCTGGAACCACCCATCTGTACGATATTCCATTAGTTTGAAGAAAAGAAATTAATTCCTTGTAATTTGTTCTCTTTTGTCTAATTTCAAATGGAATGTCCTTTAAAGTTTTAATGGTTACATTTCCCATTTTCAGTGGAGTTGCTGATGTTGTTTTTAAAATGGCATCTCTGGTTTGTCTTCTTGAAAACTTGACCACTATTTCTCCAGGTAGGCTATTTTTTTTATATATATATATATATATATATAGTTGGAGTAAGCCCTACAGGCTGTCTCCATTTCGTTTACCAGTTCATCCGCTGTTGAGCCTATTACTGGAGCGATGATCTCACTGAGCACCCTCTTCAGGTCTTCCCAATCCGTTTCAGGAACCCCCTGAAACCTGAGAATCATGTTAGCTTTTTCCATCTGAAGCTGCAAGACTCAGTTCTCTTGGCAAATCCGCTTCATTTCCACCTCTCCCATCCTTTTCTTCAACTTCTTACTTGTGGTGTCAATCTCTTTAATTTTCTCGTTTGTCTGCTCCACTTTTTTCTCCGCCTTGTTCAGCTGAAGCTGCTGTGCTGCAAAGTTTTTATTCATCACAGTCAATTGCTGGTTAATACCATCGAGTTGTTCCATCACTGGGTTAAGCATATCCGCCAGGAGTTTGAAGACATCTGCTCCCTCTTCTGGTCTCGGACTCTGCCCGCCTGGCTTCGTTTTAAACTTTCTCTGCTGGGCCGCCATCTTTCCCGTTTTGTTTACAGTTTCTGCCGCTTCCCCACAACTCGGAAAACTTGTCAAATGACTTTGCAATTCAGATAAGTCTCTCAAAACATCTCCCCCTTCATATCTTAACCACTCATTTGCAAAAGAGGCGTCCCTCTTTGCAATCTCTTTTTCCAATCGCGCGGGGGGGGGATCGTTTTTCAAACTACTCCGTTTTTATTCAGAGCTCACGTTCATTGTTGGGCAGTTTATCTGACTGCGCTTGTTTTACGCCATTCCGCTCGATCTCCGGCGCTTGTCCCGGTCAGTCCAGCTTATGCCCGAAGGCCACTCAGTGACTGGACCATCGGTGCGGAGAGGAGTCTCAATTCTCTGGCATTACGCCATCGAAGAGGCTACCCCTCAAAAGCCCCCTGGCCTGGAGCCTATCGCAAAGGCTCCTCGGGGGTGTCACTTGAGGTGGTACCCCTCCAGGCCGCTGGTGTGCAATTTGCCCTCCTCCGTTGTGAGGAGAGCGTCCGCCATCATTGTTCCGTCGACCAGAAGTCTCTAGCATCCCATTTTCTACAGTGACCAGCTAGATGTCTCTGGAAAAGCTAAAAATGGATATTGAAACAGCCCTCTCCGCTCTGTACTCTTTTTACCTGCTTTATGGTCTGAGCTGAGTCAGGCAACTGTTCTATCAATATAATTTTAGACTTCTCTGTTGTTTTATGCTGCTTTTATGCCTCGGTCTGTTTTATTTACCTGTTTTATGAGCCACCTCAAGCAGGATCTGGAGCAGTGGCCTACAAATTTTA